GTAGAAAGCCTCATCTTTCTCCCGTGGAGCGGCTGGTAGTTTCGAACCACTGACCTTAAGGTTCGCAGCCCGATTCATAACCACTACGCTACCAGAGATATAAAATGCATGTAATCAAATTCCTTAATATTTATATAATTATTAATATACACATATGCTTGTGTATATATATGGAGTCCTGGTGTGGCACTGTGGGTTAATGCGCCAGACTGCAAAGCCATTTGAACTGCAAGTTTGGTGGTTCAAGCTCACCAGCTGTTCCTTGGAAACCCTATACAAGGTCGTTATGGATCAGAACTCACTCGACGGCACTTAACAACAACAACAATTATATATATCAGGATATTAACCATGTTTGTAGAATAAAATAACAAATATGCCACATTATTCCACTTTTTCTGATACCAATCACAAAGTTTCAGTTACTTATAACAACAGTATTTATTATCATGGTCACTGGGCATTTAATTGACAGAAGGCCTCTTGATGGAAGCTGCCTTGGCCTGGTGACTCTCCTTCAGGTGTCTAATATTCTGGTATTGACTCTAGGCTGCAAGTTGGGCATATGACCTATAGCATGTGTCTTATTTTGAGGACCAGATTAATGGAAAAGCACCTACCTAGGAATCACTTACAACACAAGAAGTCAAACACCATTACAAAATCACAATGAAACTTCTATGCTTACGATATCCACTAATACGCTATTTGTCAGAGCAAGATATGTGTCTTAACTCAGAGTAAAAGTCTGTCCACTCCCACACTAGTAATGTGAATTTGAGTATTTAATACTACCACTGGGATGTAAGTAATTGAGACCAATAATTTCATCTACCACATATATGGCTCCATTTATGTAAATTTTTAATTTATTAATATTCATTAAAAAGGAATGGTGGCAGGATGAATATAATGGATGTCACTGAATTGTACATGGCAAGTGATAACAATGATGATGGTGATATAATTTAAGATTCAAAAAAAAATTGTTATTGTGAATTGGGGGAAAGGTTTACAAAACAGATCAGTTTTCCATTAAGTAATTCTTATATAGTTGTATCATCTCATTGATTGCAGTCTCCACAATGCAACACCACTTATTGTACTTTATCCCTGTGTTTTCTCTCTTCATTTTTCCTTCTTTCCTAATCTTTCGAACTTTGCCATTGGATAAATAATGTCTTTGATCTCAAGTGGCTTATTGTTCTAAGGTGTATGTCCCTCATAGTGTTATTGTTTCCCTTCTAGACCTGCCTATTGTTTGGTTGAAAATTGAGCCATAGGGAGAGTTCATTTCCAGAACTGAAGAGGTACTAAGAGCCATAGTCAGATTTCTTTACTCTACCAAGTAGAGCTCTGAAAAGAAAATCAGGAAAACAATAGCATGTAAAATGCTACTTTACAAAAGTTGAAGCACTTAAGAATATATCTAACCAGAGAAACAAGAAACCTACACAAAGAAAATTACAAAACCTTTCTATAAAAAAATAAAACAAAAGACACCTGCATAAATGGAAGAATATACCATGCTCATGAACAGGACGACACAAAGCAATTTACATATAAAATGCAATCTCACTGCAAATTCCAACATCATTCTTTGAAGAGATTCTTTATTATGCTATTTCAGAATTACATAAAATTTTAACAATAAAAATTTTAAATTATACTAAAATTTTAAAATCTAAATAAAAGGTGGAATAAATATTTCTTTCCTTCTCCTCTGTCCCAGCCTGATCAGAGTCATACCATAGCCTTTGGTTTGAATAGCCTAAGTAAGAGACTTGTGTTCTCCTCATTAATTCAGTTTCTAAGGACAAGTCAGAGTTCCTCTATTTACATTTAGTGGAGTAGAATATGTCTGTCTTCTCTTTCCTTTTCTGTATTGCCACTTAACTCTTTCAGTTTATTCAGTTATCAGGCAGTATAGGTAAAGTAAGGATATTAGCAACAACAGATAAACAACAATGGCTACACACCTGGATAGTTGTGACAAAACCTCGATTCTGGCCCTTTCTATGACATTCACAGCTAATATAAAAGTGGATGTATCCCTTTCATGTTTTGGGGTGTGCAAGCATTTATCATTGTACTAGGGGACTTAAAAAAGTTCATGGAATAATGAAATTAAAAGGTGATGGAATTTTTCCATAAACTTTTTGAAGCCCTGTGATATATACATGTATATGTACCTGAGTAACTATTTCATATACAGTGACAAAATCTTTGCATCAGGTAGTCTTGAGTCACTGAATGTGGAAGGACATTTATTCACTGAACACAACTCATCTTCATGGGCTGCAACCTTTTGAGTATTCTCTCTCTAATCTCTTTCATCTTGACACTATAAAGAATAGGGTTTAATAATGGAGGAAGCAAGAAGTGAACATAGGAGAGAAGAGTATGGGCAGACTGAGGTACTGGCAACCTAAGACGGTCAATGATTGCTAGGAGGATCATGGGTATGTAGAAGAGGAGTACAGCAGAGAGGTGGGCCATACAGGTTTGACCAGCCTTCCAGCACTCTTCACTGGACCCTAAACCTTGCAACACCTTACCAATTAGGCCATAGGTGAAAAAGATAAGCAAAGGATCCAATCCCATTGCTGACAGGACCACAAAGAGACTGTAGATGGCACTCCAAGTTCCTGGGCAAGCCAGACGGGTTACATCTGGGTGCAAGCAATAAGAATGAGTTAGGACCTGAGGGTGACAGTAGGGCATGTGGGCCAGGAGGAATGGCAGAGGCAGATGGAGACCCAGGCATCTGAAGCCAATAGCTAGGATAATCTTGCTAATGAAACCATTGGTGAAAAGTGTGGAATAGTGAAGAGGACGGCAAATAGCCAGTGCTCTATCCACGGCCATTGTGAGCAAGACAGAGGACTCCATGACAGAAAAGACATGGACAAAGAACATCTGGATGAGACAGGCTGAGGCAGAGACAACATGAGCATCAGCAAGGGCAAGACCCAGCAAAGTGGGCATCAGGGCTGTGGCCAAGCCAACATCAGACACACTGAGCATGAAGAGAAAGAAGTACATTGGGCGGTGTAGTGTGGGCTCCAAGGCAATAATCCAAAGGATGGTACCATTACCCATGGCAGAAAGAAGGTAGAGAGTGATGAGGGGGATCGTCCACCAAGACGGTACAACTGACAAACCTGGCATCCTCACCAGCAAGAAGGTGGGGGCCATTGAAGTGCTGCTATTTGAGGCTGCCTGGGTGGAAAATGTTGACATAGTTGGAAATCCAGCTTGAAACTCAAGAACCTGAAAAATAATCAGAAACTTTATTAGAGAGATTAACAGAACCTTACTGACATATTTCTACAGTGCTTTCTAATATCTCCTATCTACTCTCCACTCTTACCGCACATATTTTCTTCCAACTCACAGATATACTCTAACAGTTATGCCATAGTTATCCCTTAAAAAAATAATAAACTCAAGTTGATTGAGATTCATAATCACCCTACATGACAGAGTAAAAATATCCACAAGCAAGGTTGGTGGTTCAAACTCATCAGTCGCTCCTTGGAAACCCTCTAGAGGGTTGCTGTGGATTGGAACTGACTCGACAGCACTAAACAACAACAACAATCTTTACAGAAGCAGACTGCCACATCTTTCTCCCATGGAGATACTGGGGGTTCAAACCTATGACCATTATGTTAGAAACAAAGTGCTTCACTTGTGCCACCGGGCCCCTTCTCACCCCCTACCTTGGAACATTTCTATAACTGCCTTCAAAGCTCTCTTTCACTCCCTATTTCTTTTTTTTCCCCCTTTACCTTTAACTCTGTCTCTCCCTGAAGCTTTTTTTTTTTTTTTAAGTCACTTAGATTCCTGTCTTAATGCCAAACACATGAGGGGGTCTCTATTCTTATATCTTCTGTATTTGATCCTCCTATTCCCAGGCAATCTGACTTCTGTGTTTCTCTAACACATTCACACTCTAGTATCCTTTAATTATTCTTATGGTTGTGTCTGAAACATGCAAATGGTTAACTTGACTGATAACTGTATGGTTAGAGGTTGGTGTCCACTCAGAAGTGACTTGGGGTAAAGGGTTGATGATCTACTTCTGAAAAATGAGTCATTAAAATCCCTGCGGAGAGGGAGGTGGCAAGATGGCAGCGTAGGCAGAAAGGCTGTATGGACCTTCTACAACAAAGATAAGGAAAACTAAATGAAACAGATATAGATGATAGTCCTGGAATGCTGACCTTCAGATGACAGGATAGAGAAGTGGACTGAATGCTTCCTAGGAGAGAGAGCTCAGCATACATAGCAAAAAGGAGAGTCTGGTGGCAGTACTGGCAAACAAATGGGCACAGCCATCTTGAAATTTTGTGAGCAGCTTCAGTGTCAAGAAGGCATATGGGCATTTAAGAAACATACTTGTAACTTGCAGAAACAAAGGTGCAATACTTTTTTTGTTTCCCATACTACCTTGGTGACCAGAGACAAAACTGTTCCACATCTGTGTACCCCCCCAGGAAACTTCTACCTTCCAGTGGTCTGAGCTGCACGAAGGTGAGTGCTATGGTTGTAGGCCCCATATATGGTTTAGGGATATCTCTGCAAGGATCCTTTTTACATGGGTCCTACTCGAATTCGGCAGAATTGACCTTGGCCATCTCTGGACTACCTCTCTCTAGGAGAAGCAGCTGAACAGATGTGTTAAAGACAAAAAAGAAAGAAAAGGCCAGCCATAGTGTGGCCAAGAGGACAATAGGTGGCACAGAGGCATACTGTTTTTTGGTGAACAGAAAAGGGTGAATTAAAAAAATTTTTTTTCCTTATACTGCATTATCCTAGTGACCAGAGATGTGGCTGTCTTCCATCTATGTACACTCCTAGGGAAGATCCTGCTCTCTGCTCTCCAGGCTGTCAAAGTTGCATCAATGTGTGGGAAGTTAGCAACACCAACCCTGGCACCTGGAATCAGGTGTGACTTATTCCAGACCTGAAAAGCTAGGTCTGTCTGGTCAGAGGGACCTCTCACTCTCAGCTCCCTTCTAACACAGAAATACCCCAATCCCTCAGCTGCTTTGGGGTCTGCATGAACTAGTTCTGGAGTAGGTACCCAGAATAGACAACACCTATCACTAACAGGAAACTCCATTTAGGGTAGTGTGTTAACATCTCATTCCTTACCTATGACATGAGGTCCTTGGTAGGCAGGAGACCTCAGAACTTTCTCTTCTCTGGATCTGGCACCTGCCCCCTGACTGTTTTTTTTTTTTTTTTTTTTTCTTTCCTGTAATTGTTCTTGTTTGTTTATTCTTTTTCCTTCCTATTTGTCTCTGTTGCTTTCTTTCCTTTCTATCTCCTTTTCATTTTTTCTTCTTATTTTTTCCTGTTTCTTTCTCCCAACTACTACTGATTCTTTCTTTCTTTTTTTAAATTATTATCTTCTTTTCTTATTTTACTCTCTGGTCTCTTTTGCTTTTACTCATTTCTCTCCATGATTGTATTTAGGTCTTTTTATTTTCTCTCTTTTTTTATTATTTTGTTTTCCTCTCCCTCTTTTTGCTTTTTGGTTTTTACATTCTTTTTCTAGCTGTACCCTGTTTTTTGTTTTGTTACTATTTTCTTTTTATGCTGTTGCTTGCTGGTTTGTGTTTCTTTTCCTTCTTTCTTGTGTGTGTGTTTTCTCTTCTTGCCTCACCTGACAGAAACAGCAACCACATCCATACAGTCCAGTTTCAACAGTACCTTCTACAACCTCTCATTGGACAAGAGCCAATATAAGCTGGTATACACCAGGTCAATTAGAACAACCAACATCAGCAAAGTACATCTTAAACTGAACCACAGAAACAGTGAACAGAAAAAAGGTGCACAAGGTCATTTACTGATCACACCTACTAGAAGCAATGGGTAAGTGCCTAAAAATATACCAACACAAAATCATCAGTTAAATACAAATACAACACAATGTTTCAGAAGCAGCAGACAATTCCTCTTCACATGAAGAAACAAGACAGAGTGGCTCAAACAAGTGACTAAGAAGCATAACTCGAAAACATTTTTGAGGAAGAAAAGATGTTGGAACTACCTGAAAAAAATTCAAGAGAATTTCATTTAAGTATTTTAAATGATTAACAGAAAGTTTGAGGAAAACAAGGAAGAATTTAGGAAAGCACTATATAAACAATCAAGCAAAATAGATAAAGGATTGGAGACAATAAAAATCCTACATATAGAAATCCAGAAGACTAATACTAAGGTTTCAGAAGGGAGAGTAATTCACTAGCTAGAGGGGATACATGTTAGCTCAGGTGACAGGGAGGACAGTAAATAAGAAAAGGGAATGCAATATTAAATAAGAAGGAGGGTAGTAGAAAAATTATGAAGACAGGTGAAGACACAGGGATATATGCATAGGCTAAAGGGGATAAAAATAACTAATGCTATACCCACAACTTTGGAACAACAGTGTTCTGGGCATATATACACAGACTGAGACATAGGGTAAATGGGTAGGGGTGGAAGAGTGGGATATAAATTTATCACATAAATGCACAAGAGTTTAAAAGAGGATATTGCTACACGAATATTTACTTTTCCTGCAAACACAACTAAGAATGTGGTGGTGCATACAGTGGGAAAAATGATGAAAACTTAGATATTATCAAATGTCTTATGACAGAGTTGCTGGTCCTGGGTGCTAAGAACCATAGTTTCAGGGAACACCATGGTCAATTAGAATAACATACTACACAAAAACAATGTTCTACCTCCTACTTTGGTGCGTAGCATCTGGGATCTTAAAAGGTCATGAAAGCCCGTCTAAGGTGCAGCTATTGGTCTCTCTATGTGCAGAAGAAAGAAGAGTGATAAGAATTGAAAGGCTTGGAGTCAATTAGTCCAATGGACTAATGGAATATCAGTTTCTAGGACTCTGAACCCAGAAAAATTCAACAGAGTCTGGCCACCACTACCAACTGCTCTGAAAGGGATCACATTAAAGGATCCTGGATAGGCTGGGAGAAAATGTGGAACAAACTCAATATTATTAAAAAACAAAAAGACTGAGCTTTCTGGTCAGAAAGAGACTGGTGGAACCTAAGACTATGGCCCTCAACCACCTTTTATATTTGGAAAGGAACTCACCCTCATGGCCCAATTTTCAGCAAAGCAGTAGGTGGGTATAGAGAGCAGACAACAACTCTAGTAAGGTATGTCCACCATGGAATGGTCAATCATTCAATATCAAAAGGACAACATCTTCCTAATAACAAAGTTGAGAAAGGATGGAACTGTGGGTGGAATGGAAATAGGAACCACAGGGAGGAAGTGAGACATTTGTTGTTGTATGGAGGCGGGTTGCAGTCATTGAGATGAAGAAACAAAATGTATGATTTGTTGAATGTAAAGTTGACAATCTTCTCTGTAAACCTTCCCACAATTCACAATAAAAAGTTAAAAAAATGCTATTTAGCACAGTTTTACTCTGATATACATGGGTCACCATGAGTCAGAGTAGATTAGATGGCTACTGGTTTGTTTTGTTTATAACTACTCTCATTGAGGTCACTAAATTACGCCTTTATTACTAAATCAATGTGACACTCATTTTTTCTAAGTTTAATTGATTTTGCAGTGAATTCTAGCTGCTGTTATAACCCCTTTCTCCTTTTCTATATAATTCTAGTTATCAGAATCTGCCTCCTTAGTTCATGTTGCATGGTCTTATGGAATTAGTATATTGGTATTTTTCAGAGATCTTTACTCAGACTCTTTCTTTTCCTTCAGTGTCTTTATCTATTCTCATGGTTTCAACTAAATCTACAAACAAACAAATCTCAAAGATATTCTATTGTTGTTATTAAGTGCCATCAAGTCGGTTCTGACAGATAGCAACCCTGTATAGGGTTTCCAAGGAGTGGCTGGTGAGCTTGAACCTTCAACCTTGTGGTTCAAACCAACTTTGCAGTCCTGAGCATTAGGCCATAGCGACATGTTGTGGTTGTTAAGTGCCGTCGAGTCGGTTCCGACCCATAGCAACCCTAAACAGGGTTTCCGAGGCTGTAAATCTTTACGGGAGCAGAAAGCCTCATCTTTCTCCCGCGGAGCAGCTGGTAATTTCGAACTGCTGACCTTGCAGTTTGCGGCGCAATTCATAACCACTATGCTACCAGAGCTCCTTAAAGACCCTGTATTTTCACCTCAAACTGGAAATCTCCAGATATCCCATGAATCTTACAGTCAAATAATTCAAAATAGTATGA